CTGGACAAGCCCATAGTGCTCACACTGGGCCCAGCCCAAGCTCTGCCTCCTCCAGCAGTGGTGTTAAACTGAGTCAAGGGCTGCCCCAAAGCTGCAGCAGTTCCTTATCTGGCAATAAAAAGCAGGAAAATCCAGGTTACGGGAGCTTACCCGGGAATTTTGGCTGTGTCCTCAGGTTCCTGCAGGGGGGAGAAGGACACATAGTTAAAACCTCTCCCTTTTGGCCGTGCTCAGTGGGACACCCAGGCCAGGGGCTGCTTCCCAGGGCCAAGGTCTGACCACGCGTCTCCCATCCTCCGTGTCCCATCTGGTGGGTCTCCAAGGAGGGAGGGGACAGAGAGCACCCCATCTCCCTGCCAACCCCAGCTCTGCCTCCCCACCACCCCTGGCACCCAATGCTGGTCCCTCCTGCAGGGCTGCACAGCCACGAGCACCAAGGGCCTGAGGGACACCGAGCTCATGCTGAGCAGCCTCTTTGCAGCCTCTTCTGCCCCAACACCCTCCAGGAAGGGAACAGGCACCTCCTACCCCACCGCAGCGAGCACGAGGCCGAGTAAGCAGAGCATGGGGACACCAAAGAGCACCACAGGCACGTTGTATGGGTGGAGAAGCCATTGAGCAAGAGCACAGCTGAGGCCCATTGTGGTGTCTCCGTTTCCTCATCTCCCTTACGTCTTTCTTTGATGCCTTCAGCTCCCGATCCGCGTCTCCCGGGGCAGCAGCACAGGTTTTCTCCCTCTCCCCTGGCATCTCCCCTTTGCTGGCCTTGGCTTCCCCCCCTTCACTCATCTTGAAGGAGGAGGTGCTGTCATTGTCCTGGAAGCCATCAGACACGCTGTTGGAGCTCAACCACGACACCACCTTGTTCTTGGAGCTCTCCTCCGACACCGGGAGCTTGCAGGAGGCAGCCACGGCCGCCTCGTCGTGCTGGAGCTGTCGGGTGAGCCCTGAGTCCTTGGAGGCTGTCTCTGAGAGGCCGTTCTCCTTCTGGCCGCGTGTCTGGCGGCGCGTGGCGTAGCTGCGCCACACCGAGCTGGTGCTGAAGTCCTCGTCCTTGCAGAAGTTGTCATCGGAGCTGTCCTCGTTGGACTCCTCCTGCTCCTCCGTGCCCGTGTTCTCCTCCTCGTCGTCCTTCAGGTCTACCCCGCTGCTGTCCGAGGAGCACTTGGCGTCGCTCTCGTAGCCCTCCTTGAAGTTCTCCACGCTCTCGATGTGGTCCAGGTTGGCAAAGTACTCGTCCCCCATCTCCAGCCCCTCTTTGTCAGCAAAGTCATCCGTGAGGATCTTCCCTGAGGGAATGGAACCAAGCGTGAGTTTTCCAGGGATGAGGTTCCTAACCCAGTGCACACCAATGAGCGAACAGGGCTGATGCCACCTTATGCCAAAGTGGGCTGGGAGAGGACAATGTATGACCATGATAGTTGAGGTTATCTGAAGGACTTGGTCTAAAGCAGGTCGTGGAATCATAGAATGGGTTGGGTTAGAAAGGACCTTAAGGTCATCCAGTTCCAACCCTCTGCCATCCCAACCCACACTAGACCACATCACCCAATGCTCTGCCCAACCTGACCTTGAACACTGCCAGGGATGGGGCACTTACCACTTCGGGCACCCTGCTCCAGGGCCTGAGCACCCTCAGAGTAAAGAACTTCCTTGTATCTACTTGAACTTCCCCTGTTCAAGCTGGAACCCATCACCCCTTGTCCTGTTGCTACCTCCAGGTTTCTTGCTACAAGGTCCTTGCTAACATCCAGCTTTCCAACACGGGCATCTCTAAGCAGCAGTTCCAACAGGGACACTGCCTTTGCCTCCAAGGGGCTGGAGGTGATGGCACAGGGTGAGCAGAGCACCAGAACCCAGCAGTGTCCATGGTGTCCTTTCAGGGCTGATGCAACCACCCTGTGCAACTTCTGCATTTGGCTGGTTTGGGCCCATGGCCCCAGCAACCAGTGGGGTGTAAACAGGAAACTGGGTTGTGTGGATTCCCAACCAGCTCTGAGGTCACACAGGCACAGCCTGCTTTGGGTGGAAGGGACCTTAAAGCTCCTCCAGCTCCAACCCCTGCCCCGGGCAGGGACACCTTCCACTAGAGCAGGTTGCTCCAAGCCCCTGTGTCCAACCTGGCCTTGAACACTGCCAGGGATGGGGCAGCCACAGCTTCATCCAACCCATCCCAGGGCCCCACCACTCTCCCAGGGAAGAGCTTCTGCCCAAGAGCTCATCTCAATCTCCCCTCTGGCAGGTTCAAGCCATTCCCCTTGGCCTGTCCCTCCATCCCTTGTCCAAAGCCCCTCTCCAGGTTTCCTGGAGCCCCTTTAGGCCCTGGAGCTGCTCTAAGGTGTCCCCTTCAGGAGCCTTCTCTTCTCCAGCTGCCCCAGCCCAGCTCTCTCAGCCTGGCTCCAGAGCAGAGCTGCTCCAGCCCTCGCAGCAGCTCCGGGGCCTCCTCTGGCCTTGCTCCAGCAGCTCCACGTCCTATTTCATGATAAACAAAGCCCAGATCCCAGGCCTGACACAACCAGATCTTTTCAAACACTTATTCCCCCCACTCCTTAACTGAAACCAAGCAGATTCCTATCTGGATACATGTGACTGCCAGGCAGGGCTGGCTCAACAAAGGCTCTTCACTCACAGCACCCATTTCAAAGCTAAAGAGGCTTCTACCTGGTCACTGAGGTGAGGTCCTACCTGCATAGATGCAGACAAAGGAGCCTTTAGCAATGTCATCGAGGCAACGAATGCCCCAACCTTTGTTCTGGGTCTTGAATAACTGCAGCCGGACTTGGAGGCCGTGTTGGACCAAGCGGTTGGTGCACATGTTAACGTTGCACTTGCACCTCTTGTTGCACTCATAAACTCTGAAAGAGAGGGGAACAGAGACATCTTCCTTCATAAAGAACCTCCCAAGAGCTGGTGTGGCACCAGAAATGACCCAAAGAGACCTGCAGCAGCGACCGAGCTCAAGAGAGTCAGGAAAGTGGTGTTGTGAGGTGCTGTGCTCATAAACAGAGGTCCTGAGCCACATGTTAACAGGGATTGAGGACAGAGGCAGGTTTGCACTATCTCCCTCAGGAAACAGTAACAGAATGGTTTGGAAGGGACCTTAAAGCTCATCCAGGGCAGGGCCACCTTCCACTAGACCGGGTTGCTCCAAGGTCCCTCCATCCCTTGCCCAAAGCCCCTCTCCAGCTTTCCTGGAGCCCCTTTAGGCACTGGAGCTTCTCTAAGGTGCCCCTGGGGCCTTCTCTTCTCCAGGCTGAACAATACCCCCTCTCTGATAGCATCAGAGGCCAAGTTTCTGGGGCTGGTGAGGGAAGGAGAAGACGTGGCTCTGCTTACCCTGTTGGGAGACATTCTTCCAGCCTTTTGTGCTGGTATCCAGAGTTGGGGTTGATCTGCCCCCCCGGGGTGCAGCCAGTTGCTTGCACAGTCAGCTGCTGACAGGCACATTTTGATCTGGAGAGAGACACAGAAAAACCCACCCATCCCTCAGAAGTCAAGTTTCAGCCACTGGTTTAACAGAAAGAAGAAGAAATCCCATCTTCTGGAACGGGTAGATGCAGAGATGGACACTCGGGGCTTGATTTGTCCTCAAACCTGCAACCAAGCAGGGGCTTAAAGTGCAGAGCAGGTCCCTCTCGTGCTGTCATCCCCCACCCTCCAGCCCCAGCGATACCAGGGGGTCACCTACTTGTCTCTGCAGCCGTCTTTGCAGTCGCAGCCCACAAGGAACTCCCAGCTGGTGTTGATGTAGACCCCTTTGCCTGGGATCCGCTCCTTGCTGTAGGCCACCTGAGGAGGTGGGGTGTTATCAATCTCATTGACACAGGACAGAGGCACGTCCTCCCTGCCCTTGGTAATGTCCGCGATGTAGTAGTAGGGTTTGTAGGGCTGGAACTTGCGATCCACCAACACGTAAGGATCCAAGCAGAACATCTCCAGGAACAAGAAGTCACAGTCCGTCTCGAAGAGGTACCGCTCGATCTCCTGCATGGTCCTGAGGCAGAGCCCACACGGGGTCTTGTAGAGCACGTGGAAGCCCATCTTGCGGTTGAGGCGGCGCCGCGCTGTCATGCGGCGGAAGTCGTAGAGGAGCGGGATGAGCAGCGGGTTGCGGCTGCGGTACTGGTCACCGCGCAGCGGCCGCACGCGCGACAGGCACGTGTAGCTGCACACGTGGGGCAGGTAGAAGAGCTTCTCCAGCGGCGCTCGGT